ATCAAGTTTCCGTATTAATGAAACACAACAAGAGACAAATTATTGTAAGAAAGAGAGGAATAAAAATAGTCCTTCATGATATCTGTGGAAAATATCTGCAAGTTTTCTGAATATCTGTAGCTGCACCTCAGGCTGGCTGTGCTAGCATGGAGCCAGCAGCTTGAGGAAAGTGATTCTTCTCCTCTCTCTGGTACTTGCCACTTTCTGGAGTGCTGTGTTCAGGGAGATGCAGTACAGGACCGATGTTGGGTTACTGGGGTGAGTCCAGCAGATGACAGGCAGGATGGCTGGGGCTGAACTGCATAACCTCCAAGGAGACTGGGTTTCTTCAGCTATAAGAAGAGAAGGCAAATGAGAGATCTTGCTGATGCCTACAACAACATAATAGGGAGGTATCCAGGGAAAGCAGAGCCACAATGGGAAGACAAAGGACAATAGATACAAATTGGAACATGAGGTATCTTGGTAGGATACAAAAGAAACATTTTATACCATGGGTAGTGATACACTGGAATGCATTGAGCAGAGAAGCTGAGTTAAAAATTATTTTCTAAATAATAATTAGTCTTGCTCTTAAAAGATTTTTTTTTTCACTGTTTCAGTCAAATCTGGTTAGTAGGCCCTTTGTGCCCTCTACAATTTTGTTCCAGTTGCTATAGTGTACTCTCATGTTCTGGAAAAAGTCTATAGGCAGCTCTTTGTTACTCTGTACAGAAATAATTGAATTGATGTTTGATTTAAAAATACCCCAAATTTTGAAAATGTGTGATGAAAGCCTGTTAAAGATACCCAGATATGTTCATCAGATTAGGAAAGATTAACTTGTATGGTGTGGTTAATGGACTAGTAGAGTGTTTTGAAATGTAGGGTATATTTTATTATTCCAGCTGGGGAAAAAAAACCCCAACAATAATGGGCTTAAATTACATCTTAAATGTGTGTCTGTTGGTCCAATGGAAGTAATTATCTTTGTATATAAACTGCCTTTTATCTCTGGTGGCAAGATCAGTGCTTAGGAAGTCTTTAAAAGCATTTTTTCCACTTGACCTGTTAAACACTTTCAAATTCCTGTCACTGAGGACTGGAGAAATCCAGGAATTTATTACAAGATACTTCTTTTGATCTTTAATATCAAAGCAAATTATCCAGATAGTCAGTATAGCTGGAGATAAGAAAAATGAAGAAATTCTATGCCATTTCTAATAGCAGTTGTTGCTCTTTGGTCCTAAATAATTCTAGGGTGAATGCCTCTATTTGGGAGGGAGCAGTGCTAAGATACATAAACTCCATCAAGGTGTAGTATAATGGAGATAATGGAATACAGGTTCTTTAGGTGGGCATAGAGTTACAGAGGTTACTGTAAGGCAGAAGGAAATAATGTCTTTTGCTTAAATTTGGGTTTGTTTGGGATGTTGCTCTGAATCAAAAACAAATCCAAAAGGGATATGTTTCTTCACCTCTAAATACCTTCCTTCCCTATCCAGTGAGGAGCTGTGTCTAGGAATTTACCATTAGTCAGAATTGCATTGGACTATGCTTAACAGATACTCATAGTCAGGGTTTTTTGTGGATTCCCTTATTTCAATGTGATAAATTTATTTGCTGTAAATTGTTTTTGTTATAACACTGACAGTGTTAGTCTTGCTTTTCTGGATTATTGAGAAACTATTAAGTTTCTGTAACTTAATAGATAATGCATTTGTTTTCTACTGAGCGTCCTCTTTTCAGCTTTGTATGGGAATGCATAGATCTTCTTTTGCTTTTATTGGTATTTCCACTGAGAGCTGCTAATAGAGGTCAGATGGAACTGATTATAGAATGGTTTGGATTTGAAGGGCCTGTAAAGATGATTTCATTCCAACCCTCCTGGATGTGACTGTCCAACCAATTCTTTATTCACTGAACAGTCCACCTATGGAATCAATCTCTCTCCTATGTAGAGAGGAGGATGTTGTTGGGAACCATGCCAAAGGCTTGCCAGAAGTCCAGATAAATTACATCTGTAGCCCTTCCCTTGTTCATTGATGAAGTCACTCCATTGTAGAAGATCACTAGGTTGGTCAGACAGGACTTGGCTGTCCTGAATCACTTCTCTGTCCTGCACGTGTCATAGTACAGCTTCTTGGAGGATGTGTCCCATGATCTTCACAGGCACTGAGGTGAGGCTGATAGGTCTCAGTGTGGTCCTTTTTACCCTTTTTCCAGTCAGCTGGCACTTCACCTGACTGCCATGACTTTTCAAATATGGAAAGTGGCTTGGCAACCAAATCCACCAGTTCCACTCAGGAGCCTGGAATGCTGCTTATTGCGTCCCAGAGATTTGTTTATATTCAGGTTCCTCAAGTGGTCATGAACCTGACCTTTACTTAAAGTGGGAGGGACTTTGTTCCCTCCTGCTGGCCATCTACTTGAGTGGTGTGGAAAGAGAGGTTGCCGTTGAAGACTGAGGCAAAAAAACCCCAGCCCAGTTGTTGAGTACCATAGCCTTCTGCTCGTCAGTTTTTTCCAGTTGTCCAGGATTTTTTATGGGCAGGAGGGGTTATACCTTCTTTGACTTTGCTTTTCTGGCTTAAGTTGATACTTACTTGAATTGGCTAACTGGGAAACAATAATTTATTTAAAAATATTACTTGTTTGATGTGACACATTTTACCCAAAGTGTAAATAGTATTTCTTGCTATTTCTCTGGGATATGTTTTCTGGATTTTGTTTTGAATTGCAAACAAGGAGCAGTAGTATATTGTCTGCATGTAGATTTAATGCTGAATGGACAGATCCTCCAGCCAGGTTCAGCAAATGTTTTAGGATCGGAGGAACAGAGTACTTCTGTGGTATTCTGTTGTTCAAGTATACGTTTTAATTATATTTTTCTTTTTGCTACTGACTTTTTTTTGTTTAGAAAGGGCCATAAACACAGTATGTGAGAATCAAAAACCTGTGAAACAGAGGATATTTTTGCACTAGTGAGATGGATAAAAGCATAACTGAGTCTGTATTAAACTGAAAAGATAGTTCCTGGAGAAAGGGCCAAAGGTGCAAACTTGAAATTAGATAATACTATTTTAAGTGTTGGTAATTTGAAAATTTTAGGATACAGACAGACAAAATTTGCTCTCTTCAAATTACTATCAGACACTGATAGCTTAATGTTTCTGTTTTTAATTTAATTCTGAGATGTGTTTTATGCTCCTTTTTGTAAAGACAAAGTTGTATAGTTGGTCTACATGTATAAATAAAAGGATCTACTGAATTATTTGCGCTTCTTATATACATATCTTCTCTGCTATTTTATAACCAATGTTTCCAATTCTCCTCTTTAGGGGAGTTTGAATTTCATAAAATTGTCATAAAACGGTCTCATCTCTGAACTTCTAAGATCTTTCTCTACCTGACAAAGTGTACACAGGTTGACTGCCTTTAAGGTTTATTTGATGGTGATCTGGGGAAGTGCTAGAAAGAGAATTGACTTCAAAACATCTCTGCCATTCAACTTAAGGATTTATGAAATGGTTTTGTCACTTTGCTCCTTTGCATTTTAATTCATAATAGTGGTGTTGGAAACACTGTTAGTGTTTTCTTAATCTGGGCAGAAAGGAAAAGGTAAACAGTAGGATTCTAACCTGTTCCTGAATGTGTGAGCAATGTATATAGCTTATGAAAATGCTAGCATTGGGTTTTCAGTTTGTTCATATTATATCTTAGTGCCAGGTAGGAACTTTCAGTAAAGAAGCCCAAGAAAGTTTTCAGGGCTCATTGACAGAGACAGAAAGTTAATTCAGTATTTTCAGAATGTAAATTGTGAATGTATAAGGGCCTTTTCTGTATGAGTTGTGTGGTTGAATTTATTGTAGTCCGATTTCAAATATATTTGATGGAATACTGAGTCATTTCTGTGCTGACAAATCAACACTTTATTTTCCCCTAGGAATTTTTTAAAGTTCTACTAAGCACTGAAAAACAGCTACAAGTGTGTGGTAAACCTAAAATAAAAACAACAGTGTGTTTTAAAAAATCAGATATTGAGGTACTAAATCCCAAACCATGTATTTTTATTCCTTTGGACTATAAGATCATTTTGACTAATAGTGTGGTTGAAGTGAACTTGTATATGGTAACCTTAAAATTGTTGGCAGGAAAAAGGACAGAAGTGAGAAAGCCTTGAACTTTTTGTCATCTAGATGGCTTGGAAATGACAAAACATATTGCGTAACTGTTTATATGGAGAAAATTGACTCTGAGAGCAGTGCCAGTAACAGCACTTCAGAGTTTGCATTTCCCTTGCTCAATAGATTGTAAGAAACTGTTCTAGTAGTTATAGAAACGGTTGCAGTGGCCAATTTATCTCTGTCAGAATAGGCAAGAATTACCTGAGCTACTGCCATAATACTTTAATAAGTGCTATGACTCTGTAAGTTCTAAGATGCAGTTAGTATAAAGTTTTTAGTTTGTGTTGTGCAATCCAAATAGTTTTGTTTTAGTTTTTTGTTCTGTCCTCTGGGATGACTTAGAACAAGGCAAAGGCTTGCACAGATGCCAAATGGAAGTGTCCTAGATTACTTAGAAGAGGAAGTTGTGCTATTAAATTAAAGTCTTGTAGATTTAATTATAAATCTAATGATGTTGTGTAAATATGAAATGTTTGCTGCTAGGAGTAGTGCTCTTATAGATGTTTTTCTAATACAAAAAATTAATTTATACCTCTGTGTAGTTTGTAACACAACAGCTCTTCCCTTTGCACTGTTGCAAATAAATGTAAGTGCCTGTATATTTTACCCAAAAAGTAAGTTTGAAGCTTGTAACTTATTTTGCCTGTGTCTTTTCAGTAAAATTTCTAGGAGTGGAGTCATCCTTCTTTCTCACCTTTCAATTTCACTTTGTTTTTTAAATTGTCAAGTAAAACTCCTTTTACCTTTGAAAAATTGATGAAATGTACCTAAGTGTGTGTGTTTATTGCTGAACTTTATTTAGTATTTCAAATATTCCATACAATTTCTTTATAGAAACGATTACAAAAAGAACTATTGGCGTTTCAAAATGATCCACCTCCGGGAATGACTCTAGATGAAAAGAGTGTACAAAATTCAATTACACAGTAAGTATATATACTGTTTTATTTCTGCTGTCATGCTGAAAAGACTAAGTAATGAGAAGTTCTCTTCCCACTTCCACCACTTACTCCAAGTAACGTTGTGAATTTTGCTTTTAGTCTAGGCAATGAAACATTGTTCTCCTTAATAAGCATATTGCAGTAATGTGTTAGACACTTTCAGGAGCAGGATAGTGAATTTACTAAATTTTTATTAGGCATTTTACTGTCTAACAAACTGTCAGTTGGTAAAAGCTTCTGCATTTTTTAGAATAAAACAATTTAATTCATAGCTACTAACCTCCAAAACTCTTCTAGATTTACTGAAATAATGGAGTAGCTGTTATAGAGTTCTGTGATATTTGAATGGAATATATGTCATAGCTGTTAATTTTCATTACCTTCTTTCTCTTAAGGCAAGTGGAGAAAACTTCTTAAAAAGAAAGGCTGTCTGGGTATACTTGTTTGCACTTTTTTCCCTGCCTTGGCTTTCTTGGTGATTCATGAAATGGGAAGAGAAACATGGTAAAATATTCTGTGTCCATTGGAGTGGATGGAGTTGTTCTTCGTATTAATCTATTTTTTTAATTGACAGAAATTCAAAATATTCAGAGTGTGTTGACATTTTTTTCTCATCACTTTCTTAGCTTCATTTTGGAGAAATGTTAAAAATTGAGCCCTTGTAAACATTGATGAGAGTATGATCTCAGACTGCATGTTCTGGACTATGTTATTGATTGATGGAGCAGCTTAAACATAGAGCTGAATTCTGATGGTTTTGCATCTGCATTTTGGGTGGTGGCATTCAGACCACATTACATGAGGCTTTTCTGGGACTCATATATGCTGAGTTAAACATTCCTGGCTTTTTAAACAAGGCTGGCTTTGTGATACTTCATGCAGATGGGTAGGACTAGAATTGAAATAGCAGATTTTAATTTTCTGCAAAAATGAGTCAGTCTAATATTGCAAGTGGTATTCATTTATTTCAACAAAAAAATATTAAATCAAAGTTTGAGCAGATGGAAAAGGATATCTCTGTTTCCAGAGTATTACCTCATTATAATTTCTGATCTGTAGAACTTCTATATCTTTCAATACCTTGCACATAAAAACTTCCTATTTACTGTCGTGCTAGATTTTGAAACTGTTGCTGTTTTAGAAGCTTATTGTCACAAGTAATATTTTTTTTTCTCTTTGAGGGTTTTTGGTAACAGGTAGCATGTTTTGAGTTCATTAATCAAGTTACAGTTTGAATTGGCTGCATTAAAAATTTGTGTAGCAATACTAGCTTGGCTTTTAAAGATGTTGAATAAAATAATTGGATCCCATGATGTAACTAGGTCATTTAGAACATTGAGCAATCTTTTATTTTAGATATACAAGGATTAGAAATTTGAGAAGGCTAAACTGTAAAGCATGAAGGAAATATGGGTTCTACAGATTCCTTGACCATAAAAGGACCAATATCCAGGCAAAGCTATCTTCTACTTAGTAAAGTAAATTATTTTAAAAACTTGAAAGTGGAAGTTCTGGATCACAAAAGCCAATAAATCTAAAGAGTATTGGTGCACTCTGTGTATAAATGTAAAAGCAGAAGGCGTAAGAAAGGATAAGTGATCTGGAGTGGACACAGATTAAATCAAAGGCATCTTCACCAAGTTAAAATATGTAACATACTTCATCAGCTGTCACTGTACAGCCGTCACTGTGCAGCTGTTGAAGATGCATTCCTCTTGAAGAGTGTGAGAGTTAGTAGTTTATTAAATATGCAGTTTTTCTCGAAAAAAAGCCAAAAGCCGAAACGCAACAACAGCAATACAACCAGCAAAAAACCTCCAAAGAGTGATAGAGGGGAAAATAAAAAAATGTGCATGGCTTAAATACAGAGAGAGAGTATGTATTACAGGAGGATGGAGAGAGGTTGAGAATAGACTCATCAGAGCTGCCAGCTGGAGATGTTGACTTTTCTGAGTGCACTGCTGTTCTGCAAAATCTCAGCTGCCTTCCTTGAGTTGATGTAAACCATATCTGAGTATTTTTGTAGTCTCGTTACCTTATCACGTTGCTTCGATCTGTAAAGCTCAATCAAAGGTTAAAAACCAAAAATGGGAAAGTGATGCTGCAAAGAATGGTATTAAGTGGTCAACATAGAACTCTAAAATCATAGCAGTTAGCAGGATGTTGCTGTATGTGTTGAACAATATGCAAAGCATCTGGTTTTAGCTGTATTAAAAAAACACAGTGCAAACCAAACAATAAAACCCCCACATGCAAAACCACCACCGTCTTCCCCAGCAACTCCACCTGTCAGTTACTTTGATGTTATAATGGTGGAAGGAGCAGAAGCAGAGGAAAAAGAATGTTGAGGTGTTATTTTTGTTACAGATTCAAATTACAATTTTTTTTGTTTTGTTTCAATTTGCTGGGACCTTTTAATTTTTACACAATTAAGTTTTCCAGTTTTGATTCCATTACCTGCAAGATACCATTTAATTTCTGAATTTTTCACAGATGTAAGTACAAGATGAGCTTTGCCCTTTTGCTTTGGTTACAGATTTTGTTTTAATAAACTGTATTGATGTTTTCAATGACAGAAAGGTAATACAACACAAAAGAGAATGTGTACTAGTTTGTTTCCTTCCAAACCTTTTAAGTTTTCAAGCAGGTTTTTTTTTTCAGCTTTGTTGTCTCACATTAAAGAGCCATTTCTTGGGAACTGATGGGTCAGTATATAGTTCAAGTCATAATTACATTTATAATTTGCATCACTGTGTCAGTGTCTGTATGCAAAACACCAAGCTTATTTCTTTCAAGTACAGGCTTGATGTATTGCTCACCTTTGTGATTGTTACAGTATTAGAAGAGAAGTTAGATGATCTGGCTGTGATTGGTACTTGATTTGATTAATCCAGTGCTCCAGGAGTACAAGTATTAATTTGTCAGTCCAGAATGCTAACAGCTTTTTCCCCTATTCCTTAGGTGGATTGTAGACATGGAAGGTGCTCCAGGAACACTCTATGAAGGGGAAAAATTTCAGCTTTTATTTAAGTTTAGTAGTCGGTATCCTTTTGATTCACCTCAGGTAACTGCTGCCTTCTTTCTCTCTTACTGCTACCTTCAGGTTACAGCTGTGTGATGTGTGCTGAGTATTGTATTATCCACATAACCTAATGTCAGCTTCCCTTACTTTAATTTGTGTTAAACACATTGTTCAGATACCTTTTCTTTACAAATGATTCTGCAGTGAAGTATAGGGTGCTGATGTCTGCTTGGACAGATGAAAGCAGTGTAAACTGGAAGCTTCTTTGATGCTGACATTAATGTCATGAAATGCAGGGTAAAGTAGGAAGATCTCCTTTACTGTGATGCAGGAGCCAAGTGAACAATAAACTGCTGCTTCATCCCTTATTACTTTCAACATATTTTTTTCTGGTTGATTTTTAAGGCTTGCATCTTGTCTGCTGCCATTGTTAATACAGCTGAAGAAATACTGTGCTTCTAATAGGGATTCTTGTAGGTACATGATGCGCTTGAGAGACCTGCAAACAGTGTTACAACTGAGGTATGTGATACTGTGTTGCTTTTAAGACAACCTGGAGAACTGAAAGGACAGCAGAACTTGGAGACTGAAGAATGTGCTGTGTACATCTATTCCTCCATTACCTGAGGGAAACGTTTCAAAATATGGCTGATAAGAGTAGTGGTCAGCTGTCACCCCTGCTTTTCTGAAAAAGGAAGGAGAAAAGCAAGAGTGCCTTAGTTCTTCTCCTGTCTATTTCAGCTCAGAGTTCTAGAAATGATCTCTGCAGCTTCTCTAATCAGTATTAAAACTGAAGCATGGAGCTGTGAGAGGCACTCAAGCCATAAAAATTCATGTATTTTAAGGTACCATGATAAGCACTAGAATGCTGACTTTGTCTTTTACAGAACAAACTAGCCACTTGTACTTCTGCACCTCATCAGGTTTGCAAGGTACTACTTATAGGTGATCCGCAAGAGAGTAGTCAGTTTGGTTTAGTTCCAGGTTGTTTGTCTTTATTACCCAACCTGTGTGTGTGGCTCTGTGCAGTTTATTGTTAAGTAGCAAATTAGGTCCATACATCTACACTGAATTTTATTGCAGAAAACAATTAAATATTTAAGTACTAGATACTGGATTTTTTCAGATGGCTAGAATTTCAGTTTTTCAAACGTTGCTGTGCAGTAGGGTCATTCTGCACTACAAACTTCTTTGTCATAATTACCTCTCCTGCAAACTTAGTTACTGTGAATTGTCAGTTTTCACTTGTGCTGCTTTAATCACTTGGATGTTTTCTGCCTTTAAATGTATGTTATCTGTCATAGAGTGCATGCCTTTACTTACCTAGTCTGCCTAGTTCAGGTTGTCATGTAAAAATAGGATATTAGTTACGAGTGAAATACATTACAGGATTATGAAGGTAAGCCTTTTAATGCTTAAGAAACACCAGTTCAAAGACATATGAAAGATCATTCTGCATCCAGTTTCTCTTATGCTTTAGAAACCTGTCTGCCATTTTGCAGATATATTAAGCTCTCTAATTTCAGTTTCCTCTATGATGGTGTTGCTTCTTGTCATCAGTGAGGAGGTGGGTGTGTTGCGTACATGCTTACATATTTTTATGTGTACCTATATAGCTTAAGAAGCACTTAAGAAACTGCTGGGTATTATAGTTATGAGTGACAGAGATTTATGTTTTTATTGCATAAAATGAGTTGGAAAAGGAGTTATACTGATATGAAGATTTCACTTTTACTCTCTTTCTGTTGGTCCTGAACCAATGATGTGTTTGACAAAAACTTGATATAAGAGCAGTAGTTGTCAAAATTGCTTTTCTAGCCTTCTTTTGACTATGATAGTACCTTTAAATAGAGAGGAGTTCAGGTTCTAAATGCTTTTCTTCCATATTCTTTCATGTCAAATAAATTTTTTTCTATTTGAATTAATGTTTTAAAAATATTTCGTATTTGGTAACATACTTTGGTTTCACAAGTCCTTTATTTATAGTTAATAAGATTTGATGAATTTTAATTTTATTCTTTATGCTGAAACCCGGATGAGTTGTCCAGAACTTTATTTCTGTTATGTCCAGGTTTATAGAAATACTCATTTGTGAATCTTGTTGTGCTTCTTGATGTATAACATTGTGGCTTATAAAATCATTAAAATGCAGTGTTTTGGCTAGACAGCCGTTTTCCTTAGGACACGGAAGACAGAGGCTGCAAGATTTTGCACTGTCTTAACATTATTACCTTTGCATTTTTCTATGCTGTGTAAATATTAATAGAAAATCCCCTATATTTAACCATTTGTTTAATTCTAGCTTCCCTAGCTCTTTAGGTTTCCATTGATTATTTTATGCTTCACTTAATAGTTTCCAAAATTGAAATAACTCAATGTGTTGAAGTGTGTTATTTAGTGTAAGTGAAAATGGCAGACCTACTTCTTAAAAAAGATGATACTGTTTTTCCCAAACCAATCCAGTTTTATTTAAAATGGGGACTATAAATTAGTTATTTTTGTTCCTTTTTTTTAGGTCATGTTTACTGGAGACAATATCCCTGTTCATCCTCATGTTTATAGCAATGGTCATATCTGTTTATCCATTCTAACGGAAGACTGGTCTCCAGCCCTCTCAGTGCAATCTGTTTGTCTTAGCATTATTAGCATGCTTTCCAGCTGCAAAGAAAAGGTATGGGCTTTTTTAGCACTGTTGAAGTAAAATAAGCAAAAGTTAGTAATTTTTTACTTTACAAAGTCAAATTTTCATTCCTCGAATTCTGAAATAGGCAAAACTGCTGTATCTACATTTCTACTACTGAGAAAATACTAAGCTAGAACTGCAAAATAAACATTGCAGTAAGTACTTTGCCACTGTTTTCATGATAACTTCCATAATATCATTACTGGAATAGAGCAGTGGATGGAACCCTTCCAGTTGTACTAACTGTGAAGTTCAATCATGCTTTAGGACAATTCTTTGTAAAATTATCCTTCCTCTAAAGGCAGCATAGAATGACTAGTGAAATGTCTTCAGTGCAGATGTTTCTAACTTTGCATCTGTACTATTTCAGTGAACTTGATAATTTTCATTTCAGGGAAGTAAATGGTGCTAAGCTGCTTTTTTGGCACGAATACCTTAGACCTTTTTGTAAAGAGATTGCCCTTTCACTTTTGACCATTTCTTTCGCAGAGGGCTGTCTGTGGAAGTTAGATGTGGTCAGAGCTTGTCAGTATGTGCTATCCAAACATGCCTTTTTTTTTTTTTTGCATCCCAATCAGTCCTAGTCATATATGTAGTCAAAAAACCACCCCAAAATGGCTTTGTATTGTATTCTATCCTATGAGTTTTGTAAATTGTGACACAAAGAAAACGGAAGAATATGTAATAATGATTAGATGCAGGTACTTAAATTTATTTTTTCACCCACTCTAAGCTGAGCCTTAGAATGGGAATTGAATGTAATGCATCAGAATTAGATTCCAAACTGCAAAGGAGTTTAATTTTGGGGGTTTTTTGAACAAGAGCTGTTGCTTGTGAGTTAGTTTCTTTTGTTTGCTGGTTGTTCTTTTTTTCTGGTTTTTTCCTCCCCTTATTTATCACCAAACTGATTTTTACTATTTTGTTTTCTTGGAGTATCTCAAGTAAGAATTTGTTACCTGGATCTTTAATAGATTTTTCTTGACTAAAAAGGTCTAGTCCTGCCTGTTACCTCATTTTTGCTGCATTCACATGGTAATCTTTCATAAGCTTATTAAATAGCTCACGTATTACAGTATGAGGATTGTTTGATTATTTGTAGGTCTTTTCTTTTGTTGCAGAGGCGACCTCCAGATAACTCGTTTTATGTAAGAACATGTAACAAGAATCCAAAGAAAACAAAATGGTGGTATCATGGTAAGTATCTAACTAGGACTGGAAATTTTTAACTTCTTTTCAGGCTGAGGGCAATTAAATTGTAGGAAAGTAGGATAAATGTATTCAAAACATTAAACTATTTTTTTCGATTCAAAAAGTGATTTAAATCCTGTTTCTGAGATAGTCTGCTGTGCTTTTTTTTTTTTATATCGCATTTGAATAATTTATAGTGGAAATTTAAACCTGTTTTCAGTTGTAGGATTGATTTTCATTCAAAGTTCTTATAAAGTGTATCAATCCATGACAAGTTTAAAGTTTGAGATTGGAGGAAGTCCATGATGAAACTAGGTTTTGCTCTAAACCATTTTTGTTGCTGTTATTAGCACTTTAAAAACTTTTATGTTGTTGAAAAGATACCTATATATTTGTAAACAGCTATGTGTTTTAATAGATTTCCAGTCTTAATCAGAATTTCCATTATGGGACAGTTGACTGACTTTAAAGGCTCCTAAAAACTAATACTCAATAATATAGTAATAAGATTCTCCATGGACACAATAAAGAAGAAAAAAAAATATTAAAACTGCTAGTGTCTGCAGTGCTGGTGTTGTGTTGGGGTTTTTTTTCTTTATTCGGTTTTGGTTTGGGGTTTGCTTTGCTTTTGCTTTTGTGCTTTTTTTCTTTTCTTTCCATGTGGTCTATGTCTTGCTTTATACTGTGTGGTTTCTTTCTTCTGCCTCAGCATTTGTCATCCTCCACCCAGAGCTGCAGTTGGCTGTATGTGCTTGTCTTATCCACTCCATTGGTGAGGAAAGAGAGAAGAAGGGGGTAGAGATGGGCCATGCTTTGTTTCTCTCCTTTCTTGTTAGCAATGCTGTCCTTGCTTTCCCTAGGAAAATTCTGTACAAACGGTAGTTATTGGAAGGACAAGTGCTTTGGGAAGGGATATGTCAGAGCAGGTAATACTCTATGCTAGTGTAGTGCAGAACAGTTGATTCCATCCCTGCTTCTAGCTGAAGGTTCCACCATAACACGTCCTCTGTTTTTCATGTGCTCCCCACTCCAGGATGTGTTCTGTCCCTCAAGTGAAACTAGAGCAAGTATTTCTAGGCAATGAGAGTTCATGACTGGAGAGGTAAATTCCAAAGTCTTCACTCTTAAAATTCTTAAGATTCTTAAAAGCCCATGGATGACCTAACAAGAAAAACTGGATGGTTTCATAATACTTGCTGAGACCCACAGGGTCTTGACATATTGTAATGTAAAAGAATGAAACTCTGTTTCTCATAATACAGTAACTCCAAAACAAGGTGGCTTCAGGTACAGTAAGAGAAGTGCTGTATGTCATGAGATTAAGGTATATCTAAGAAATTTGGGACCATCACGTGGTTGTTTTTAAAGCTGACTCCAAGAATAATAATCATTTTGCACACAAGGAGTTTCATCCTCACCAGATTATTCAGTGGTCACTTTCTTTTCTCTCTCTGTATTCATCCTCTTGTAATGTGTTTGGTGCTTCTCCATTTCTAGTTTTGGTTTCTCTTAAATGACAGTTTTGGCAGAGTTTTTTGTTAATTTTCTATTTTCACTTGCTAATTATATTTAAAGAGAAACAGGTAAAGTTCAATTTATTGGCTTGTGATTAAAATATGCTCTGTCTCCTTTTAATTTGTACTAGTCTCATTTTGATTTAGAATAGAAATCTGTAAAAGGAGAACAGTCTGCAGATATTACTTTTAGCTCTTAATAATGAAATTCAATTTGTGTTAAACAAGCAAAATAGAAACTTAGTATGAAAAGAAATCTGAGTTACTGATTCTGAAGGTTGCTGTGTTATTATGGCTCAAAACCATGGCTTACAGGTCACTGAATGGGTATTTTAGTTACTATGAGATAACTGCAGTGCTTTTTTCTGGAAGTCAGAAAACCTTACCCTTTGTCAAATTCAGAGCAACCTAAAAACCAACCTGAGTCAAGAGAAAGAAAGTTCATTTAAATAACTCATACTGTCTTGATTAAAAATTTGTTGGGCTCCCCACCACCTTAAATTCTTACAGGAAAAAATTAAATACTCCTGATGTCCACTGGACAAAAAAATTCATAAATTGTAAGAGTGTTTTCCCTTCTAGTTTTGTGTGTGTGTCATTTGCTTCTTTTCTCAGTAAATTTTGTTTCTCCTATGTGGACATACAAGACTGCCAAGTCATGATCTTTAAAAATTGTCAGTGTTTTCTAAACAGGTTTAAAGAAATGGTATGTTACAGTAAAATGGGAAGTGTGAAAAGATGCTTCTGTCATGTTTATTTTCTGCTCATGTTTCAACTGAAGTGTCATATATCTAATCTTGTGGTTGAACCACATTTGGCTGGATAAGTGAAGGAAGAAAAAACAATCCCACCCAGGAAAGAAAACGAGCTGTCCAGGGGTACCTGCTGTGAGAAATTAAATGCCAGTGCTAATATAACACTGTGGAGGGAGATGCAGACTGCTTCTGCCACTTCTGCTGTCAGCTGCCCATTGGACTGGTTTAGCTTTAACGTGACATTGTAGCTCTGTGTTTTGAAGAGATAGGAAGACGTCTGTCATATATATTAATACATGCATTTGAAGGAATGCATTTTTTTTCCAATATGTGCCTTGAATTTATTTACCTGGGAGCAGAATAGTCCCTGCTTGGGAGCTGATGTAAAGCAAACCCATATGAACACAGGATAAAGTGGCACTTTGAGACATATTCTGACATGTAAATGTGTGTCTGCATTCAACTTTGAATACAGAGTTTTTAATCTGTCATATCATCCCTGCCCCAACACAGCAGCTTATTCCATGAGCAGAGTTATGTAGCTTTATTTGCTACAAAATTATGTCCTCACAAGCCCTATTTTAACTCTCCTGATCTTTGATAACTGAAAATATTTCTAGATTGTCTGCCCTACCAAATGTCTCTTTCAACTGGATGTTGACTTTCCTGCTGAGTTTCAGTGTGAGAGTTGTTCATGTTGTGTTAAAGACAGAGAAGGATCCTCTGAAATTGCTTTCATAAAGTTGTTGACTTCCTTTGTTGTTCTTGGGAGGTAGATTTTTTTTTTTTGGGGGGGGCGGTGGGCAGGGGAGCAGTGAGGAGGGGACGAGGAAGAAGGAAAAGGCAATGGTATTTTTTTTCAACCAGCACTTCTCTGCTGCTTTTGGGTTTGGAGGTTGGTTTGGTTTTGGTTTCAGTTTTTTCTTAAGTAGAAAGTGTTTTCTCTGATATTTGGCCTAAAATTTTAGTACACCATTGAAATATCCCTTCTCTCTCTCTTTTGCATCCTTGTCCATGTTTTTTTTACATGTACAGTAGCCTACTTAAAAATTAAAGAGTTTTTTTACAAATAATAGCTTTGATAGAATATTTTCACATGAGAGTATAGAATGTTGATGAGGCTCCATTTTTTAGGCGTGGGTAGTTACAAGTAAGTCCTTGAAAAATAAACAGACAGTAAGTTTGCTTTCTGTTAACAACTTAATATTTACTGCTAGCAGGTGCAAATATACTGCAGGTTGATGTGTGAAGGAGAATGTTTAAAAGGGACAAAATTAATATGGCGCATAATGCAGAAAAGATAGGAATAGAACATGCATTTCTATAGTATGTTCTGTCTAATCACAGTATCTAAAATTTAGTGTATGCAATTTACTTTAAAGTTTAAGATTTTAGGATTATAGTACTAACCTATTCTTTTTGCCTAAATCTGTAAGCTATTGTTTTGTGTTGAGTCTTAATAAAGAAATATATATATATATAAACACCCACATATACACATATAAATGTATAAAGGATTGAGAATGCCTGAGAAGCAGCCCACACTGCCAGGTCTTATCCCTATGTATTCCTTATAAAAGGATGTCTTAATTTGATAACTGTTGTGGATCTGCAGTACTTCAAGGGTGCAAAATATTAAGCATATTTGATTTTTCGTTTTCCTGGCAAGTAGCTTTCTAAACATAAAACATGGAAATGACCGTCATTTTAATGGAGTATTTGCTAATACTAATGTCGTTGGGGGTATATATGTATTTTGTAAGTTTAATTTTTAATACTGTCTTTTCTCCCCGAGTTGTTACTGAGCACAATGACAGAATTATTCAATCAGGGTGTTTCCTCTGCATGTTACTCTCTATGCTAGGAATTGTTTTTTGCCTATAGCACTTTGCTTATTTGGAATTAGAATGTTTATGTGTTTTCCATAAATGCTCTTCTTTTATTTTAAAGATGACACATGTTGATGCCACCATTTTGTGATCCTCGTAGCAGAAGATAGTCCTACTGAGAAAATGAGCACTTTGATCATTCAGTCTTTGAACTTTAACCTTTGACTGGAAGTGACCTATAGGCAATGAAGACTACTTCCTTTGACTGCATTTTTACTAGTGTGCATTCTGGGCGCATGTTGATCGCTGGTTCAGTCCATGCAAATGACATGCTTTTATTAGTCATACAGTATTAATGCAGGTGTCCAGAAATGTCAGAATAATTCCATTTTTTTTTTTTTTTTAAGCTTTTGGAAGAATTCCAGGTCTTCATATATTGTGCAATAACACTGAGCTCCTTGGCGGTTTTGGTGCATCCATTGCCGGCAATGGACATTGTACCAGGGAAAGGTTTTGCTCCTGCCACAAAAAAGATTGACACATGACAGAACTTACGAAAGTTTTGGATCTATCTGGATTATAAGCAAGGGATTGACAATTACCTTAAATCCAGCCCATTCTTTTATATTTGGATTCTATGCACTGTGACCACAAAACTAGCAGCATGAGTTAACATGCCTAGCTGAAGGACTGTAATAAGATCATTACGTATTTATTAAATTGTTTATCTGCTGTCAAATTGTTTTGACATGGGTGGTTTTTCAAGTGACATTGGCAGAGAGGTACAATGTTATCCCTATGGTGAAGTAAAACTACTTTTTGTATATAGTTATTCATATCTCTGAAGCAAAGGTATGAGTAATTTAGGGTATGAGTGATTTAAACAAGAATTTATTTTGGAGATAGAGGATGGCAGTGATATAACTGAACTAGCTACAGTCCATAATTGGGCTTGTAATTTGTACTTTAGAGCTTTTTCCAAATAGATTGCACACTGTTATTTCCTGCTAGCCATCAGCATGAGCCCTACTGCCTACACCAATATTTCATTTATTTATGTGTTCGAAAGCAATCCATATAACATTTTTTGTTTGCATTCACTGTTTCTTTTGTGTTGTTTGTCATGTTTGAATGTTAAAAAACAATATTTTGATTGAAAAGCTTTGTCAGAAGATATTTTCATGTAAATTATTTCTTTATCTTGTAAGCATCATCTTGTCTTTTAATCCTGTATTATAAAAAGAAAAGAAAATACATTTTTGACAGAGGCTTAAAGTTTTCACAAAAAAGTGTGGACATTCTTATTTAAGTTTAGTCTAAAGTATATTTTCTTAACTTGCTTGTCCCACGTAGCCATGCTAATTTTTCCCGGCTTTTCTTCAACAAAAAAAGGGGGAAAAGCCTAAAATCAGACATTTTTCTGTGGAGCAACATTTATTCAAATGATAGTTGTTCTCAGCACTCTGTAATATTTTGATACTGCAAGTAGGTTGTCTTTTTAGGGAGCACTTTTATAAACTAAATACCTTTACACATATGCAAAATTTCTATGATTTTTTTTTTTACTGTTGCCTTACTGTTGCACTCAAAAAAAAAATAATTCAAGCAATTAATGCATGAATGTCTAAATCAACTAATAGCTTGGTGTAAAAACAAAAAAAAAAAAGAAAGAAATCTCTAAACCAAATCCACAATGAATAACTACTATAAAAAGCAGAAAATTGGCTGAAAAGACTGATTTTTTTTTTTTTTTTATCTGCCGTATGATAACTGACATTTTATAGCCTTGTACATACTGCTCTGTTACCTATTGTTTAAAATACTTCAAAAAAAGTATAGTTGCTTAACTCAGGGTGGATAGAGTTTAGATGGACTTGCTTCAGAGAAGTATTTTGTACAGCATCAGAACTGTAGATACTGGCAGTGAAGTGAGACTACAATATATTTCAGGAACTGCTTTTTTTTTCTACTGTACTGAAAAGATCTCTTGGCCTTTAAAACCCAATGGTAAAATATAGCTTTGGATATAAATTTGATGTGTGTATATATTTTCACAATGAGCCTTGGAAACATAGAATTTTCTTTTATGAACCAAAAAAAGTAGTTTTAAACAAAAGAAATACTTATGCTGCAGACTTCTTGTTTGGCAAAATTTTATTGTTGTGAGATCATGAAACTGATTATTTTTGGAAATGGTTCATATGAGCAAGCAGTAATCTGATACTTAATCTGTATAGTCCTGTTCACTGCTCTGTATTAATTGAAACAATTTAGAAATTCATGTATGAATGGTTCACATAATGGGTCCTATCAAAATAGTCCACAGGAAAGAGACCTTAGCGTGACCAGGTAATGTCTGAAGAAATGGCTTAAGTACATCTTAGATTCAATTATCTTTTCATATAATGGCTTGGGAAACTACAATCCATAGTTTCAGAGAAGCTTTATGACATACCATATGTATTTTGATCACGGTCGGTGTTGTAGTGCAAAACATTATACATTTTATTGACCTGTGCTAACACATGGACTATAGTGAAGTTAAATAACCAAATTTATGCTGCTCTTTAATAACCCCCCACCCCCTATAATATACTTAGATCAAGAAAATGAAAGGTAGATTAGAAGAGAATGTACCTCAGGTCTTAGAGTTTACAGTAGAAATGCCTCATTGGTTCTCTTGTAATCTGTGGGTAAGTTCACCTGTATAGAGAGGGCCAAGACAAAACTTATATACCACTCAAACCCTCAAAATAATGCAACTATTCTGACAATGCCATGATGTCCTGAAAAAGGGCTTGAATTAGATGGAGGTGGTGCCATCCTTTCTCAAGGGTGACCCTGTGTATGTAACTTTCTTTCACTTGAAATTTCTCACTTGGAATGGTTACAGAATTGGCTTGAAACTATCTTGCTTTTATTTTGTGTTAATATTCATGTTGTTAAACACTTTGTTTTGTGTTTAGTGTCTTTATACTATAACACAATAAATTCTTGTTTTAAAATAGATTTCTACCCTTGAATGGAAATATGTGTGGACCTTTTCATGGTGGAGTGCAGGAGCACAGTTCCTTGCATTCAGCCACTCTTAAGAAAAAACTACCAGTAATTCTAAAATGTTGTGATGCATATCAGAGGAGGAATTTGCATAACAGTAAGGTGTTTCCTCATTCTTCAGAGGGTATCTGTTGTAAGAGCTGAAAGAAATAGTTAATTTAAAAAAAAAATCACTTAGATATCATGCTTTCATTTCTCACATTTGAGCATGTAGTTCTTTATCGTGGGGTTTTTTATTTCCTTTTTTTTTTTTATTTTGCCATTTTACAAGTACTTAAAATACTTAATGAGAAGTTTCAGATGCAGGATTCTTGTTTGCCTGCAGTAGTGGGAAAAGAGTTTCTGTTATTTTGTCAGCATCTGTCAGGACTGTTTAATCAAATCTGTGCCTCGTACCAATAACTGCTCTCAGGTTTTCAAAAATTCTTTATCAAGAGACGATGTTTTCTGCTTTGCAAAAGGCAAGGCACTGCATGGCTAAATCATGTATTTTTATGAAAAAAATTAAGTTTTTTAAATTAATATATTTTCTATTGTGAAGTTTATTCTAAATGTTTGATTTTTTATTTACTAATTTTTTTGAAAGTCTGACAAAATCTAAGATGTAAATTGTATTTAAAGGTATGCTTTTTAAGGAGACCATGAAGTTTCCAGGTCAATAATTAATTATGTTTTAAAAAGGGGGGGGGAACCCTAATGAAATGAAAAGATTTGCAAAAATGCAGCTGTAGAGTTTTAAAGTTTGGAGGATGTCAGTATAGTTTTTGCCTCCTCTGGTAGAGCAATTGAGCATTATGTTGTGTTTGTATGCTTACAAATCCTAATCATTCTAAAGAATGGGTTTGAATTAATTTTCTTCTAAAATCAGTTACTTTTAATCCATATCACCCAGTCCAGTTTGGATTTGCTCTAATGCACAGCAGTATCTGAATAGTTGGGTGTTGAACTGAATAAGGGGAATTAAGCTAAGTGATCTTCCATCTTCAGCTGCAGTCACACAGTAGCATGGGGAGACTTTGGATGTGATTTGTGTGCCAGGTACTTGTTGGCCTGTTGTTTCTAGGACTAATACTAAACTTCCAAAGCCCCTGGCTTTAAAATACTTTTATAAAATTGGAAGAGTAGAAATATCATGAACTGCCTGTTACTATATAATTCAAAAATACAAATTTGAAAATATTTGGTCTCTGATTTCATTTTACTGATAATAGCAGTGCAGGAAATCTGTTCGCTCTCAATTTCTTTTTCTTGCAGATTTTGTGTACTTTTAAAAATGGTGTTAAAGGAATTTTGATCAGCTGATTCAATGTAGCATATTCTCTCAGGAGCTACTTAATGTGATTTTTTTTTTTTTAATTACAAATTAAGAGTATTTCAGTAACATTTCTGTCCTGAAGTATGTAGGCAAAACCATATAGGTTTCATTCAGATAATTATTTGTATCTAAAAACCAAAAATTAAATTTAGAATCGACTGTGCAGTGTATAGAAGTCTAGAGATTGGATTTATAAGCCTGTGTCCATAGTCTCTAATATAATAGTTCATAAGAGCTTTAATGTCAGTAGTAGTAGGTTAGATTGTATTTAACTCCCTCTACTTTACATACACGCTATGTGCAGTTTAACTTTGTCTTTTGAAGTGACATTTTTCTCATGACCTCTGCTGATGGAGTGGCTTACAAGAGACTCTTCTGAATAGGAATCCAGTGAAGCAAACCATAATCATGGCCTCAGAGAAAGATGTTACAATCTGAAATCCTGTAACACTGACCACAGTTCTTTCCTCATGCTGGCCTGTTTTTTGTTATTTATAATCTCCATGATAAGACCTTAAAACTTTTGTCTTGCCTTCAGCAATTGGGGAACCTGTTTTCTTCAAGCCCTTTGAAGTTTTTTGTGCCAAGTAGGTCAGGGTTAAATCTGTTCAGATGAACATTCTGGGCTCTTTCTCTACTCAGGACTACAATATTATGTGGATGCTGCTAATTCAGTTCTCTGCGGCATTTAATCCTTAAAGATAAAATTAAGTATGGTTCCTGCTATTACCAGAGAAAGAGGTATTTGTACTCTTTCCAGTCTAATGATTTGCATTCTTACCTTGCATCTAACTTTATTCTTGAGTATGCACTGAGATGATTTGACGTGGTAAACCAGTATGAAACAGACTTAAGAAAAAGTAAAAATCTGTCTTCTCAGTTAGCAAATTAGATCAGCTTGCTGCATAAGCAATAGTTTCAGAGCTAGTGCAAGAAATGGAAAGCATTGTATAGCTGGGGTTTGGAAGGTGGGAGCTAAAACATGATTTGTGTCCTTAGAATTTTCTGCATGATGTAAAATACTAGCAACCTTGTGTTATGCAGAACCTGAGTATGTCCTATGAGAAGCCTTAGAGCTGGAGGTCTGGACTGCCTATAACAGGCAATGGCAGGGGACTCTCCTATCTTTTTAAACTCTGTTTTCTAGTAAAAAAATCTGAATTTGTTCCAAAACCTTAAAGTGATCTGTTACCTCTCCATTTAAATGCCTTGAGTTCTAGTGCTCAGGAACAGGTTGGCTTTTTGTGTTTTAGTGGAGGTTTTTGTTGTTGTTTTCTGGTGGTGTGGGGTTTGGGTTTTTTTGTTGGTTTTTTTGGTGGGGTTTTTTTTGTTTTGTTATATGTAGTAAGTCTGTAGTCATTGTTCTGTGAGGATATTATTAGTGAACTTCTAACAGATCAATGTTGTCAAACCTTAATCAAATATAGTTACAGATGCAGTGAACTGTTTAGAAAATGCCAGTTATTTTCCAGAAGGAAGGCAATAATGTTACAAATCAAATGTTCTTGAGATTAGATAAAAAGCCAGATATGTTTACAGTCATCTAACACGTAAAGCACTTGTGTCCCACCTCTCAGAGATCTCATTTCTTTATTGTATACTTCAAGAACAGGACTTTTGCACTCTCTGGTTGGAGGTTTTCAAGACAAAACCACACTGGTTGCCATCTCATCCCTTCCTCTGAAGGTCTTGTGCAAGGAATCAATGAAATCTGGTGGTTTTGATCTGTATTTATGCTGGGTCAGTGAAGAATGTGTGACAGCTGTTATTTTGCTGGTGATGACGTGTGCTCTGAAGTCTCTTTTTCTCTAAACTGTCCATATGTCTACAGAAAATATTATTAGCTATGTTTCACATACACAGAATAAAGTACATTTTATTTACTTGGTGTAGATAATTTATTGAAGATCAGAACACTGGAAGATGCAGTATAGAATGTATATGTAACTAAGTAAATAAGTGACAAAGATAAGTCATCAAATCTCCAGATGACTTAGAGTATATCCAGCCTAAAGTCTTGATTTGCATAAGATTTTAAATTTGTGGGGCTTGAGGTGAGGGGAGAAATTGTGTGCATCATCTTGCACTGGTATCTTCTGCATCACACTCGGTTTTGGACTATGCTCTTAATTCTTAGGTGTCTGTGTTGTCATCTGCTCCAGGCAGTAACTAGTATCTTAAGTGTTATGCTGGAGTAACAGGTGTCTTTGTGTTCCTTAAATATTAATAATAATAATAATCCAGACAATCCTGTATTTGGAATGATTTTTCAAATGTTCCTTCAAGCTATGTTGACCAACACAACGAGGATACTACATGGAGATAGGCTCACAGTGTGTGAGGAAGAACAACCAGTTCTTGAAGTTTTAAGTTTGATAGCATCCTGAAGATTCTCTAAAACTCTGGCTGGTGGCATGGTGTTCTGGGTTTCTGTGGTTTTGGGTTTGTTTTTTGTTGGTGTTTTTTTTGTGGGGTTTTTTTGGTTTTTTTTTTAAGAAAATGACAGTAATTACAGCAACCTATAATTCTTATGTTACGAAGTCCTTCAAAACTGCAAAAGGGCAAATGCAATGCAGCTATGGTCATGATGCAACTGAAGGATCAAAGTCCTGTAGGACAATCAGCAGCAGTTTGTTGAGATGTGCTATATTAAGGATAA